GCCGAACAAAACGGACGATGCATCCGGGAAAACGATAGTTCCGGGAACGATGGATAGAGGTTTCACTGTATAAAGTTTTGTTAGGAAATGAAGTGTGTTATCATGCTATAAAGTATTGTTTAACAGAAAATGTTTGCATCCTATGGATGTGTATAGAAGCTTGGAATAGTCTAAAAATATATTACTAGATTATGTATGCATATAATAGGTCTGCAAATAGTCCATATATTGTGGTGTTCAAGGTCTGTACAGTGCTCAGTAGTTCATACTTTTTATATAATCTGAAACATGTATGTCCACATCCAATCCATATGCTGATTTTAATATCCTGTTATGTCGTAAACTAGTTAAATTGACTATTAAAGAATAACTTCAGAGCGTCTCCTGCAGAGAACAGAGTTACCAAATCCACAGTTAGTAACTACATCATAGCACTTTTTCTCTCTATAATAAATTTACTTCTTTGGTGTGAATGTGTGCATACACACACACACACACACACATATATATATATATATATATATATACACACACACACTATATGCATGAATATGTGCATGCGCACACATATACCAGTGTATATAAATTAGTGGATGATTTGAAGAGTGTATAATTATTTACTTATAATGTATACAGAAACCTATATACTACAAAACAGTCACACAACATTCAAGTTTTTTCACATGTTGTCACAGAAGTTTATTAAGTTTCTGAAATTGTCTGCTAATTTATAGACACTGTGTGTGTGTGCGCGTGCATGTATACATTAAACAGCATTTCTTGGACTTTAAGAAACGTTACAAAGTTATGCACAATTATTTTTACTTATTTTTCTAACAAAAAATTATGGGATGAACTTAACAATGCCTGCCTGCTGCCTTAGTTCAAATGTTCAGTCCAATTGAATCGATGATTTCAGTAACAGTTTAAGTCACTTGGAAATCATGCAAGTTGGTCTAGTGTTTGTGTTAACCTGTTGACGCGGAATTTTAAATACCCAGCATATACCGCTGTTGTGCTGTTCCGGCGGTAGTAATTTTTAAATGCCCGTTTACATTTTGCTGTAAAATACGTTTTTTTCCATAACTTTTGAACTATATGAGATATAATTATGAATTTTTCACTGAAATCCTCTTAAAAGATGGTTTTGTAATCTTACCTTATAAGATGAGCTCTCTGTGTGTGACCAATGGGAGCAAATGGATCAGAAGTTGAGAACGGAGTGTACAGCAGCCGGTTCTTTGCATAATAAGATCTGATTGTAGGCTTTTGAACAATGCCCATCAACATAAATAGAGC